CAGAGTCCAGAAGGAGGCACCACTGAAGGATTCAGGATTCCGGTGGAGGTGGCTAACTGTAGTATTTCAGGTCGCTGAAGAAGGTGCTAGGCACCGAAATATTCGAAGAAGAAAGAGTATAAACAATATAAAAAATTTTTGTGAAAACTTTTGGATTCTTTTGAATCTTTTGAGTCTTTCGCAATAAATTTTGGCGCCTCTTTTATGTGTTCAACATTCAGATTGCAATGAGGCTCCGGGACAGCACTATTTTGAGATTGTCAGCATCGTTGTGCTAAACCTTTCGGGGAGATGAGGGTCGTATCTGGCCGCTAAGGAGGGGGTCATAAACGCAGGCCGGTGAGCGCCGAACACCGCAAATGTGTCATCGCAAAGATTTATGTAGCGGTACCAGTGCTGCAAAGAACTCTGATGCGGTGCCAACTCCGTCTACCGGAAGCGGTGCAACGTCCGAAGTCGCCTCTGTTGACCGGAGCTGCTGCTCCTAGTCCAGACCATGTTGTTACGGAGGATTCTTCAGCCTGCCGTTCTTACCGCTCCCTCTTACCGAGGACTCTTTCCAGGTTGGAGGATGCCGAGATTGTCCACGCATGGGATGCTAAGGCACACGGGGATGCTGCTTCGGTAGCCATTGCTGAAGTGTGGAGAGATACATGGTCTCAGATGTCGGCTCTGGCACGAAAAGTTAATGAAGGTGACACTTTGTCGCGTGGGTTGAATGATTCCTTTTCAGCAGTTGGATGGTCCTCGCAAGCCCCAAGGATAACCTCCTTTTCAGGCACCATGGAAGGGGGCTCTCAGTTCTCCAAATGGTTTCGTAGATTGGGAGATGTCATTCAGATGCGCCCCGTATCTCTGACCAGTGAGCAGAAAGCCACCTTCTTGACGAGCCATCTGGAAGGAGTCGCGCGACACAAGGTAGAAGAACTCGATGACGATGCACGGAAGAACTTCGACCTCCTACTGGTCATCTAACGCCCTTCGTTTAAAGCCCACAGCAGAGGTACGTAGCTAGGCAGAAGTTATCGTCGTCGTCAGCAGCCGAGAGTCCTCCTCGTCCTTTGTTAACAGGTCTTAATTTGATCAGGGATGCGACAGTTGAATTTGTAGCCCGCAGAATTCGTCACCCGCCTCCGAGAGGATATCAGGTATTTCGTTAAAGACAATTACCGCGATAAAGTGTTCGGGTAATTGGTGCCCAGTAACGAAGCAGTGGCCCATTTGTAACCCCCAGTGGAAAAAAAAAAAAACCTCGCGAACACCCTGAACACAGACCTCCCTTTAGCAGTGGGGGCGGGGCCTGGACGAGTGTGCCGGACGTGGCTGCCAGAAATCGATGCGGCAGCCGCAATTGCGTCCCGACTTTCGAAATAGGATACTTTAAAGGGACGGAAGCAGCTCGGGACCGGACGCCTCGTCCACCTACCGTGTCAGCGAGCCTAGCGAGCCTTGTGGAAATCGCTATAACTTCCTTATCGCGCCATATTGAGGGATGAAAGTGGTATCATCTTCGTCAAGGCGTAGAGGGTTCCAAAAAGCACGAAGTCATTTTGAGGACCACTTGATCGCGGGGAGTGTCTTTAAGCTGACAAACCTTCCACTTTTCAACACTGCCACTAAAGCGCAAACTGTGGAGCAGCTCCTACGGTAAACCGACTCATCCACCCTGGTCGCAAAAAAAGCCGCAGTCAATGTTGCGGATCATGGTAAGGTTGGTCGTAATCAGGTTACAATGACGACAAAGTCGTCCTCCAGATTAGCGAAGTTACAATAGTTTGACTTGTATCTCTGAGCTTATTCTCTCAGCGATTTCTCATTATCTCTCCATGAGTCATTGTAACCTGATGAAGGAATGCCATTAAGAAGGCGTCAGCAGAGCGACGGGCAAAAACGGCGTACTATTTCAAGCAGCAGATGGCCCAGCTGGGAAGTCAGACGGCTGGTCAAGTCTTCAACAGTCTTCCGAATTTCTCTTCACTCCACGGTGCTCAATATCTCCTTCTCAATATTCCGGCCTCATCATTATTCCCTAGATTGTAGTTGTTCTAGTTCGAACTCTCTTTACATTCAACGGCTTCTCCTTTGATGGACCTGATTATCGTAGCTGTTTGAACATGATGAATTCTCTTAAGCCTTCTTCAATTGTGCCTCCTCGCTCTCGGATTGCTCTTACTATGCGTATTCATTCCCTTATTCATAGCCTCTTAATTCAGTTCTCATATCGCTTGTAATGTTTACAATTGATGTATATATTTACTAGTTATTTACTTTTAGTATATTAGATAAAAAAGCAAGATACGATAGCCTCCCGTTCCAGAGAGTCAAAAATAGAGTCCATCCCAGCGGGCGAAGATTTCAGCGAGTCAGAATGGGAGAAGTAGATATAGCCCGCACTAGGGGCAATCGAAGTGTGCACATCACAAATAGAGCAGTTATGGCAAGACTGTGCCAACTATGTGGACTATGTACTATACTGGCTACAGGGCGTGCCGAAAGGAGGCAGAGGACTTCACGTCTCACATAGCCAGCGCAGAACAATCGTTGGCCGCAGCGCTCAACTATACCGGTCGCTTGCGCTTAGTCACCTCGGCTGCCAAAGGCCAAACAACAGGCAATAACACCACCTCAGTAAATGTCGATCATTCAAGTACTGTGGAAATACGACCGGTGACGTTGCCCACAATACCGATTCCTATCTTCGCCGGCAATATATGGGACTGGGATAATTTCTAGACCTTATTCAACACCGAGGCGGAGGTGGTGTAGTGACAAGTGGCGCGCTTACCACTCGCGCGGTCCTGGGTTCGAATCCCAGGTCGACACCCGCCCAGGCCAACCAAGCCTTCTACCCTCCGGGACGGTAAATTGGTACCAGATTCGTCTGGGAGGATAAAACACTGACTTGTACATCGGCTGGCCACCGCAAGTCATTGTATAGGCCACATCGCATTCAATAAGCCACTACGATTCTGAATGGAAGTAGAATGCGTGCCGCATCCCACAAAGGGATTGATCAACGGCGAAGACTTTATCCTTTTTATCCTTTATTCAACACCAATGTCCATACCCTCCAGGCTCTATGAACCATCTTCTGCACGCATTAAAAGGCAACCATTTAATGCGATAAAGAAGTTTCGAGTTTCGGAGGAGAACTATGATGAGGCGGTGAAATTCCTGCGCTCAAAGTACTAGAACAATGAAGATGTTATCATCGGCTCATTGTGCGATTAAAGCAGCTGCGAGGTCATCATCACTCAAAGACCATCGCACATTGCTAGACCAGCTCCAAATGATTGAGTCCCAACGCAGAGAAAAAAGGGAACTAGTAGACGGTCACTGGCTACAGAAACAAATACTAGCCGAATTCCCCGAGCGTTTCCAGAGAAGGGTCCTCGAAAAGAAGTATTCCATGGAGGAAGCTTTTCGTATGGACACGTTACTCTCCACTCTGGATCAGATCATCTCTAGCGAAGAGAAGATCGCGCTTTTCACTTCCAAAACGTCTCCAGGTTCTCAGCAATGGTCTACGAAAAAGAGTTGAAAAATTCGGGAAGGAAGCTCAGCGCAGCAATTCAGCATGCATGTACTGTGGCGGCGACCACAAAGCAGCAGCATGCACTAAATATGGGACACCTCAAGAGCGTTCGAAGTACTTGCGCGAGCATAAGTTGTGCCTTATATGCGCATCACCTCAGCACCTAACATCGGAATGCAAGAAGCGGCTATGCTTTTCATGTCAGGGTAGACACCATACTTCGTGTTGTTTCAAACCGAATCCGACTCCTGTTTCGAGTTCGGCAACACAAAAGAAGTCTCCCGTCCTGACAAAAAAGGAGAGAGAAATTGTTTTCTCAACAAAACTTCACTCCAGCAGCAGCCCATCAGCTGGCACAAAAGATAAAGCCAATTCCTCCTACAGGAACTCCAGGTGAATCAGTTTGACCCCTGCAAAACGTGACGAAACAACAAACTTTCTTACCCATTGGTGAACTTACCGTAATGGACGGTGAAACACGTAAACTGAAAAAGGTGACAGTACTTATGGATTCCGGTGCCGAATGTTCCTTTATTGACACCACTCTGGCAGAAGAACTCCACTTGACGAAAATAGTTAATACCACCCTTCGTGTACTGACCGTTGGCTCAGATGAAGTCATCGCGATTGCGAGTCGAAAGGTACCATCAGACATATGGGATGAAAACGTGGCCCTCAGGATGGAGCTTTTCACTCATGACATTGTGACGAGTGAGTTAAAGACGGCTCCTGTTCCAGTATAAGACATCGAGTGTCCGAGGTCACTTCAGTTCCTAGTCAACCTGGCAAGGGAGGGGAGCAAAAGATCACCAAACCTCTAGTTTTGTTAGGATGTGATCAGATTTGGCAACTTATTAGACAAGACCAGACTCACATCCGTCTACCCTCTGGCTTACACCTGCTACCGACACGTATCGGACACCTATTGACAGGGCGGCTTCACAACGCCTGCCAAGTGACACCACTACTGAAGAAGGACGATGGTTTGCCGGAATGGGACAAATTTTGGTCTCTGGAAACAAAAGTGACTATGTTTTCCGTGGAAAGCTTTCCAGACTCTCATGATGAACAACAACTCTGGGATCAGTATTGGCACCATGGAAAAAGACGGAATAGAGGACTTTGCCGGAACAGTAGCGATACAATAAAGAGCCGACAAAGCAGTGTGGCAGCATTCCTTGGACACAGTTGAAAAAAGACAGGACGGCTAGTATGTCCGACTGCCCATGAATGGACTCTGTTGTCCCACTGCCTAACAATGGGCCATAGCAATGAAACGCCTTATAAGCTTTGGCTTTCCCTTCGAAAGGATGAACAGCTCCAGTTTGGGCATTATCGAGCAAGTAGATGAACACGAACTAGTAGACGGGAAAATCCATTGTTTGGCACATCAGGTCATTTTTCTCTGCAGAAAGCTACCACCAAGCTCCGTATTGTACTCCATGCCTCGGCTCATTACAAAGACTCCATCTCTTAATGATGCCCTGTATGGAGGACCAGTTGTCCTACCAGAACTGGATAGGCTTCTTTTTGGTATTAGAAGTGGACACATACCATTGGACGTCAAAAAAGCCTTTTACAAGTTAGGCTCCATCTAGTAGATGGGGATGCTACCCGCTGCCTGTGGTTACGTGACTGCAGAAGCCCTCCCACCAACGATGGCTCAGTGGTCTACGGGTTCACACGTATCACGTCCATCTTACTACCGTCTCCATACTTACTTGTTACAACTACTCTTTCACCTAGATCGCTGCCCCAGTGACATCGATATAGTACAACAGGTCAAAGCTAATCTGTACGTCGATAATCTACTCCTCACTACAGACACCCTAGTAGAAGCTACTAGAGCTTACACCACAACGAAGAGGATTTTCGACGACCTACATATGAACCTGAGAGCATTCGCCTCTAATAGTTCAGAAGTCATGGAGACCATAGAGGTGGCGGATAGATCTGTAGAAGAAGTTCCGAAGGTGCACGGAATCCATTGGAGCGTCCACGCAGACCAGTTGGAAATTGATTGCAAAGTACCTGAATGCGAACATGTCACTAAACGGACAGTGGCGAGCTCCTTGGCATCCATATATGACCCCATGGGTTGGGTCTTACCATTACTCCATAAGGCGAAAATCTTCCACCAGTGGAAGGATATACTAGAGTGGGATACGAAATCCGGAGAACAGAGTGGATATCAATCCTGAAGAACATCCAAGGATTTAGGGAGTCGATACCACGACGTCTCACGAATAAAACATCACATGTCCAGGTGTGCGGATGCCAGTATGGAAACCTATGCAGCACGCTCTTACATGCACACGGAAAGCTTAGCGAACCTCGTGATGTCCAAAGGGAAGTTGCCGAGTTTGAAATCAAAAATGACATCCTTAAAATGCAATTAAGCGCTTTGACGTCGGCCATGAAATTCACGAATTATGTGCTAACCCAAAGTGGCCGTAGACGCCGTACTTATTTACACGGATTCGGAAATGGCACTGAATTGGGTAAAAAGGGAGACCAAAAAGATTCATTAAAAATGGAGTAGAGGAAATCTACAGGATTTTGAAGCAATGGCAGCAGAACCAGTGCTCTGTGCAGCGCGGGCACATTTCCTCCCTACAGAACCCAGCAGATTGCGCCACTACAGGACTAGATAAATTCCATCTCAATGACCATTTCTGGTGGACTGGTCCCATATTTCTCAGTGAACCAAAAGTACAGTGGAAGAAGGCCTTCAAGCTAGTAGATGTTAGCAGAAGCACAAAAGAAGATTCTCTGAAAAACGGACTGAAGATTTCCTTATTTGAAAACACCATGATTAAAGCGGCAGAGAAGAGGAAAGACTTCTTCCAGAGAAGCATAGAGGTGGGAAATGTTCAGAAAGTGGTGGCACATACCCCTAGGTTCGTAAAGATACCGTTTGTTAAAACGCGAAAGAAACATCAACGACCCCTAGTGGATGATCAACATCATTCGGCACTACGCAACATACCTGACTAGGAAAGAGAAGTACGAAGCAAATTTGAAAATACTTAGGAAGAACTGCGACTGGTAGATGAAAAACTAGCTAGTAGACGGAACGAGGTGAAATAAGCAATGGCCGCCGCCGAGAGACGTCAAAGCCGTCCTCCACAATTAGGGAAGTTACATTAGTTTGAATTGTATCTCTAAGCTTATTCTTTTAGTGATTTCTCATTATCTCTCCATGAGTCATTGTAACTTGATTTATAGCGAATCGATGAGCAATTGAAGGAATGCCAGTAAGAAGCGTCAGCGGAGCGATAGGCAAAGACGGCGTACTATTAGGCCATCCCATTCAGCAGTGCCGAAGATCTTCATTCATATAAAACGAAGAGGAAAAAGATAGAAAAGTAATATTTTGGCTTTGAGTTAAGTAGATCCCTCCTTCACCAATGACCCGCTCCCAGGGCCCCGAAAGCGTTTGGACCTCTGGTACCTTCGGTTTTTCAACAAGTGCGAGTAAATTGCTGTTGCTGCCAATTTCGGCGAATGACAAAACATTGTAGCGTTTGCCGTCGGAGAGTACTCTCGACTGACCAGAACAGTTGGCAATCAAACGGGGAATGGGGATATGAACTCAGGTCTCAGTATTGTTTGTGTCCCAGCACTGCCCTACAATACAGTTACTCGGGGTCTGGCACTATGACGAGCAACGGTGGCCTTCTTGTAGTTGTGTGGTATCATCCATTTGTCGATCTGATTGCCGAGGAACAGGCAATATACACCGACAGACGCTTTATTCTGTATAGAGCCGCCTGAAAGCCACAGTGTGGGAATCCTTTGCCATGATGATCATCCACTTGCACCCACGTGACAACTAGGTAGAACTCGGGCTTCTCATTGGCGGCTTCTCATCTGCATTCATACAAAATTGACGATTGTGAGTTTGGCTCGAGGTCCAAGACCACCCATATTTCATCTAGGGCCGGGGTGCGTTTTCACAGTCGTGAATGACATCTCATGCTGAGAACATTACTGCTAGAGGCATAGAATCGGTACTGCGTTCGTGCTTCTACAAGAAAATTAGGTACCCATGCGCACACCCTCTTGACCATCCTCAGTTTATCGGACATAACTCGGGCAGCAGTTGCAGCAGGGATGTCAGTCTCGCGGGGAAGCTCGACAAGGGTCCAGGCTCTGTGATCAGACATTCAGTGCTTGACTTCATCCACCCTTTTTTCTTGTGCAGGATGAACATTGGGACCATCCTACGACAACAAACTTTTTCCTTTCTTTCTTCTTCACTCCTGAACAGAACTTTCCACCTTGCATTTTGAGAACACCATTACACGCAACTACTGGTCCGGCACAGGTCGAATTTGAGCAGCGCACTTTCCTTTTATGGCGCCTTATGCGCCTGATTCGAAGATCCGATTCGCCAATTTTGACCACTCGTGCTTTTTCAATTTCTCGAGAACGCCTTCTGGGGCTAGGTTCGCCAAATTTCACAGATACACAGCTAAGGTACTAGCTTCCAAATGGTATAGTAGCCCGCTGCCTATCCCCTTTGCTTTTCTGCCATTCCTCTATATGTCTCGGCACTTTTGAATGGGATGACCCAATATTAGGTTGGAAAGAAAGTCTTGCCACTGTTGTGACTTTTTTTTTCTTATTTTCTAACTCAACATACAAAAATTAATCAACAATATACTCGTCATTGTTAGTCACTACAGTGCTCCACCTAATGGGCAGGTAAGCATTCCCCTTCTCCCGGAGCTGGGGAGGCTGCGAGTCGAGTAAGTCGGCGGCCTCTCGACTGATGTCATCAAAGTTGCTGACAGTTTTCTTAGCTAAGAGAGCCTTGAGGAGGCGGAGCAGGTAGCAGTCGTAGGGGCCTATGTCAGGAGAATATGATGAGCGGGATCTGGTCTCCCAGCCTTGCTCCTCAATTATTTGGTAGGTCTCCATAGCAGTATGGGGTCTCCGTCCTCGGGAACGAGGTGCCCCGAAGCTAGTCTCGGTCATTTTTCTCCAACAGTTTCCACGGGTTTCTGGAGCTAAGCGGCACAAATGGTAGCGGTAACCGTGTGTTCTTACAGACAGCGCATTGTGCAGCATTTCCTGGCGTCCCGCAAGCAGGGCAGGAAAATCTTTTCGGGCTGTATGCCCGGTTGGGACTGCTAGGATGGGTCTTCTCCTTGAGAGAGACACTGTGTGGGTTGAAATCACAGAGGACCCATCTCTCATCTCCACTAAGCAGTCTCCCAGAAACTCCTTCTGACAAGGGCGGAGAAGGGAGACTGACCAAGGGGTACCCAGGTGGCAGCGTGCCATCGGTCAAGGTATGAGTGATCCATCGAGCCAGTACTTTTCGGTAGTCAAGGGCTTACAGGCGGTTGACGACTGTCAGTTAGGTACACCCGAGTCTTGTCGCAAGACTGCGGGTGGTAGGCTCCGGATCCCTCTTGACAGCTTCGAGAACGGTGGAGTCTTCCATTGTGGGGCAGTCCCAACCGAATTTTACCTTTGACTGTCCCCTTTCGCGGAGCGAGCGAACCAGAGTATGACAGTCCTGATGGTTAGTGTATCCTTCCACAATGCACTGTTGGTTGCGAACAGCGGCCGTCGCTCCACTGCCGCGGCGCCACCCATAGAACATGATGACTCGAAGCTGTTCCTATGAAACTGACATTGTAATTAAACCCAGGGAAGACCAGGTGCCTTCAGGTACCTCTTGCGGGAAAGCTCCTAGAATGTTCTACAAGCATAGCATGTTACGTCATGTTCGAGCATCAAGAATCAAAAGCTGTAAGCTTTTCAAAAAACACTGACAGGACTTTCTTTCAAACCTACTACTTAAGCAGCAGATGGCCCAGCTGGGAAGTCAGAGGGCTTGCCAAGTCTTCAACAGTCTTCCGAATTTATCTTTTCTATACACTGGTCAATATCTTCCTCTCAATATTCCGGCCTCATCATTACTCCCTAGGTTGTAGTTGTTCTAGTTCTAACTATCTTTACATTCAACGGCTTCGCTTATAATTACACATTAATTGCTTATAATGTATACAATAGATGATAGATAAATATTTACTAGTTAATTAGATTTAATTTACTTTAAGATTTAACAACTGGAAATATTAATAAGTCGACATCATCTCGTAAGTGACTAAACAGTACAACTCATACTCTG